ATCGGAAACTTCAGATAGATCCTTCAAGTTTGTGTATGTAGAAAACTGCATCCAATATTGAACTGCCTGATCTATGTAAATAGCATTCTCGGAACCTTAATAAAGAGTTCTCCGTAATCTTACAGTCTTCAGAGTCAAATTACACTTTCCTTAGCAGTGTTAAAATGGGCCACTGCATCAGTTGGGTAAGTTAAAACCAATTCTACTACACAGGGCCAAATCTTTGTAGCCTTTCTACCCAGTATGTGTTACTTTTGGAGCATCGTAAGAGGATAGCTAAGCCAGGGGTATTTTTCAGGCAGTTCAATTTCAGGTTAAATGAAAGTATCTTTTCATATTAACCTTTCCAGCTTCTCAGATAGAAAATGCTGTCAGAAGAGAAGAGACCAAGGCAAATGAAAACTGACTAGGTGTGCTTTAAAATGACCCAGAAGTTTAAGTTTTCTTCTTCCATCTGATGACTGGGAGATGAAACAAGTTATGTTCTTAGAACCGTGTGTTCAAGATAAGGCTGAGAAGGGAGATTTTTCAAAGGGACTCCTGCACAATAGCATCACCTTGGTAGGGACCTTTGAGGAATGCAAAGTCCCAGACTGTGCTGTGGGAGAAAGTAGGAGAGGATAGGCAGTCATCAGCTTTCAACCCTCCAGGTGACTGTGCTGCCTGCTGGCTTACGAACCACAGCTGCAGAGAGAAGCTGCCCCCCCCTAGGTCTGCAGGTGCAGAGATGGGTTTAAACACCGGACTCTACCTCTGCTTAGTAGATGACCTTCGGCAACTTTTGTTAGGCTTTAATGTCCTCATCCATAAATCAGTGGCAATGACAATAATGCCTAACTCACTGGAACACTGGCGATAATCTGCGACATAAGAGAGTTAGCAAGAGACTTGGCATAACATGGGGAACTCATTAAATGCGGGCAATTATTCTCCCTGCTACGGAGTGATAGCAGGTTTGCTCATTCATTTATGCAACTACTATACTCAGCATTTGCCAAAATGCACATCAGAACCACCCCACTGCCTGAGGACCACTGTGTACCAAAACACAAAACATCACTGCCTGGCGATGGTGGGGCCAAGATTTCCAAAGAAGACTCAATCTGCAAACAAAACTACAGTGACTGTCTGAGGACCAGGGGCCGCACACGTGAATCTGACCCGGCGGAAGCTTCGGCAGAGCAGCCGCTTCCCCAGCAAGCTGTGATATGTTCTTATCTCACTCTTCTCTGTCTTACTGATCTTAGGAGGCACAGATTCTGTGTTTCTAAACAGCCAGCCTATGCCACATGTCGGACAAAAGAAAGGCAGAAGCTGATGCACCAGGACACGAATTGTTCTTCCTGCACTGATCTTCTGAGTCCTACGGGTGGACCTGAGAGGTTTGCTAGGTGGAAAAATGCTCATGGTCACAGGCTCTCACTTTCTTAATGATTTATTAAGTGAATAAATAAAAAGTTGGTGGCAGGGGAACAGCATTAGCAAAACAGAATGACACTTATGTTTGAATCAATTATCTACGCAAAGTTAACTTTTCAAGTGAGAAGCCAAAGAACAGTAACTACAATATAATCTGAGTACTGGGCACTGTGCAAGGCTTCTTGTGCAAGCTTTTGCTGAACTTTGCTGGTGATCTCTGGAGACACAGAATGAGTCGTGCCTCCTCTGGTGTGCACACCTGTGTGGTAGTGCGCTTCAGTGGGGTGGGGGGGTCATAGCTGACTCTTAAGACTAACAAGAAATTGAAGAGATAACTCTCTTTGGGTTCTAAGGTTAGATGCAAAATCATGTTTCCCAGATGACCACTTGATCACATGTCTGTGGGAAGACAGACAATGTCAAGTGACACCCCATCAGCTTTTTGGTAAGGTTCTTCTGGAGAGGAGCCAATTGCTACCAGCAAATGAATAAATACTTAGAGAGTAGAACCTTCCACTCTTGTGGAATCTTTTGAGTCTTCTAACTGAAAACCTAGTTATTGTAGAACAGTGGATAGCCACTACCATTCAGATTTCTGAGCCTCAGAACCAATAAGATAATAGTTGCTGTGAGAACTCAGCTCTGGGGTATCCTGTCGTGCAGCAATAGAAGAGTCACACGAATGAGCAAAACACTCTCACACCACAGTAGAGAAGAGTCTGGAATTTAATCATGGACATACTAAGGGAAGTCTTTAAGAGTCCTGGCTCTCATTTGGTTACAGTATGCCTGAAAGATATTCACAGGTCTGCAGTCTGTTTCCTGTCCTTCTCCTTAAGAGAAAAAGAATAACTTAATAGGAATCTCTGAAGTATTCTGATACTATGTTTACTATGACTAGCATTCATGGCTCTGTCTTGTTTCTTTAGTCATGACTCTGTGAACGTATTTGAAGTTCTTAACGGGCAAGATCAGCATCTCTCTGGGTATCTGTCAGTAGCACAAAGGTGTAGTCGAATTCTGTGCTCATTGGAAGGCTGGGCATCGGCCTGCCCTTGTGGCATCTCAGCTCTACCAGGCTGAGTGAGCTTAGGCATGTGCCTCAGATTCTTCATTCTTACAACATAGCTCACGCTAATGCATACATTCATTTACACAAACTCGGAAAACTACCCAGAGAGCCCTCAGAACATTGCTTTCAGCACACTGAGTATTTAAAGTACTTAGCGCATTGAGTTTTTTTCTCAACCTTCCTTGTGCCAGGCTGAGAAAATTCAGTGGGAAAATGGGGGCTCTTTGGGAGGCAGGCATGGCAGCCTTCAGTCAGCAGGCAGACCATGGTCAAAATGGAGGCCATAGGCCAGCAAGATCGCAGGTAATGAGCTTGTTACCAAGCCTGATAGCCCAACCCATGTTGGATCCTCAGACCCTACATGATGGAAGCAAACAAAGTTCGTGTTTTCTGACTCTCACATGCATGTACACACACACACACACACACACACACACACACACACATAAATAAATAAATGTAAAAAATTAAAAGTATCAACAACAACAAAATACTCAGGAGGTTCGTGGTGCTAGAGCAGTAACCCCCATTTCTCTGGTGTCCTTTCTGTTTCACTAGTACAGTGAGAGGAATAGGGACGTGTGGTGTCCTATCCTTGTCCAGCATGACATGTAGGCAGCAGTGACTCTTTCCTGGGAGAAGGAACATGGGACAAGGCAAGGAAAGTCTCTCGCGCCTGCTTTTATAAACTTTTGCTTTCCACACCACTTCTAAATTTTACTTAGAAATGGCAATTTTGTAATTTTGTCTATGCACACAAAGCCCCGTAGCGCCTGGTAACACTAACTCTAGTGCCCCGCTCCGTGGTTCATCCCTTCTCTGTCTCAGAGCCAGCAAGCTGTCCTGTGTTATAGTCCCCTCAGATGACCCTACTGAATGATTTCCTGCTTTCCAATACCTTTGAAGTTCACACCAGGGCTCCCTTCTTTTCTCCTTAAATAGCAGAACTCTCACGTAAAATTCTACCGGGAATCTAGCCATTTCTACAACCTCCCATCTCTACACATGTCTAGGAAAACGAAGAGATGGTAGACACATCAGCCACAAGCCTCCGCCTCCAAATAAGCATGCATTTCCAGCACGGCAACAGCCGAAGTTCTTGCAGGGATCTAAACCAAGACCCAAGTGTAGAACCCTTCCTTAGCTCACTCTCCTCACAGCACAGCGGATATGAAAACTACACTGGTGACCAGAATGCAATGGTGAAGGGCGCCACCAGTGTGGCGGCGACGGTGGTGAACGTGGTCCCAGTAGGCTCATGTATTTGAACACTAGGTCCCAGTTGGCAATGCTGTTTGGGGGAAATTATGGAACCTTTAAGAGGTACAGGCTTGTTGGAAGGAGTATGCCATTGGGCGTGGCCTTTGATAATTGAGTTCCATGCCACTTCCAGTTCACTTCTGCTTCCTGTTTGAGGGTGAGATATGGTCTCTCAGCTTTCTACTCCTGCCGCCCCACCTGTTGCTTCCCGCCCTGCCCCTCTGCCACCAGAGGTTTTCCCTCTGGAACGTAAACCAAAATAAACTTTATTCCACGAGTCCCTTTTAGTCAGGGTGTCTCATCACAGCAACAAAGAAAGAACTGATGAGAGCGACTGGGGTGAAGGGACCCCCAAAACATGTGAGGGCAAGAACGTGACGCCAGAAGAAAACATGGGAAGAACTAGAGAAATCAGTCCTAGGTGCACCCTCCGTGGTACAGTACTGACCCACCAAGCAGCAAGAGCAAGGAGCTCTCCAGCCAGCCGGAATGGGAGGCCGAGTTCCAGGAAAATATGGGGAAGGGATGCGCGGCTCTGTGGATGTGTGTCTTTTCATCAGCTGGAGACATGTAGAGAATTGGAGACAGGGATTATAAAAAGTAGTGCCGTGGGAAACACCCTGGCGACACTTGGGAATAAAAATTCTCAAGAAAGAGAAACCAAACGGCTTTCTGCCGCTCACAGAGCAAACTGGTGACATATGAATTCATGATGCAGGGTGAGTAAAGTCTTCTTAGCCATGTTTCAGTCATCACGAAGCAAAACTCTCAAGACTAGAGAGGTGCATTTCCAAAGGAGCCAGGCTAAAGCAGACCAGCACCATGCTCTGTGGGTTCTATGAGTTTATCTTACTGACATCCTCACACTGGCTTCCCTGAACTGGCCAAACACTTCCTGATACACAAAGGTGGCATGTCAGGGGATGCCTGCCAGCTGAGTAACTTCAATGATGTGCAAGTTTTAGTGTGCAAGCTTAGTGAGCTATACCCTATCAGAGCCCCGCAACCGTCTACCAGAAGTGAACACGATTGCAAACAGGTCTCAGTGTGTCTACACCTGAGCAGTTTTCTATCTCAGCACCAGACTGTCTTAGAAAGTACGACAGTGAGCTCTCTCTCCAACAGTGAGCCTTCATGGGGGACCAGGTCCCAGGTCACTGCGTCTGGGCCTCCCAGGACCAACAGATTTTCTTCACACACCACAAACGTGGACAACATAACCGTAGCTGGACTTCCTCGGTGAACTTACCATGTACCACATGCTTGGCCACTTGGGATCATTGAAGTAGGTGGACTGGGCGCGGCTGAGGTCGTAATCCCTCTTGGTCCGTTTTTTCACCACTTGCTGCTGGATCCACTCCACCTTTCAAGAGAGACATCTGGTGAGTGCTTCGTCTCTGTCACAGCTCCATAACACAAACGACAGTCTAAAGCATTTCCCATTTTCTGTCAATGTTGTGTAAGTCAGACTTTATTGTGACAATTAAAATCTCTGCGTCCATGTGATTTTCTAGAAAGCCAGCTCTCTCCTGTTTCAATAGAGGCAGACATTGTAGTTTTTTATAGACCAATAATTCATCTCAATGCCAAGCAAGTTGTTAAGCTTTTTAGCAAAATATGCCACTGATAATTTGTTCACTGATAATAAAGTAACAGTGATCATTTTTAGGGTATATTTCCATTCATAATAAGAGCCGGAAAGCTTTTCCTACAGAGGTTCAATACTAAATATTTCAGACTTTGTGGATTCATTCTGCTCTTGTAGTATTATAGCTGAAGCATACTGAAAGTGGTTCAGTGGTGCACAAATAAACTGTCATAAACAAAACCAGCTGGATTTGACCCATCTGCCCCTTCCTCCTATGCAACATACTCTGAAATGTTTTGCCATCACTTTTTTTTTTTTTTTTTTTTTGGTCTTTTTGAGCTGGCATCTCACTATGGGACTCTAGATGCCCTGAAATTTGTCAGGGGACGCCTTAAAGTTGGAACAATCCTGCTTCTGTCTTCTAAATCCTAGGATTTCAGGTATACACTACTGACCTGGTTAGGGTTACACGGTTTTATGAAAACACAGCATGGAAGAGCACTACTAGGTGAATCAAAAAAAAGTATGTCCTACTCTTATCTGTGGAACAGACTAAAGAGTCAGGCTCTTGAGGTATGCACACCCTGCCAATTCTAAACTGCAAAACCGCAACATTCCAGAAAAGCCTTGGCATTAACCATGACCTTTACTTCAACCTTGAGTTTAGCACAGCATCCGTAATCTCGTGACATATAAAATATAAGATATTTTTAAAAAGCAGGTTGTTGTTATGGCAAAGAAGGAGAAAAAAAAGGAGCATCTGAAATACAGGATTAGCCTTGATGCAATTCTTCAAGTTCCCATGAAATGTTCCTTTGTTTGACAGCTAACTTTGTCACAATATTTTGAAATCTCCTGTCTAGCCATCTATCTTTGCTTCCACAAAGTAAAAGCTGGGAGCAGGAACATCATGCAGCTTCCTGTTATAATCTCTTATCTGCCCACACAAAGATCCAGAATCCCTCTTGCCTACTGAGTTGAGGAGGACAAAGGCACCCTTCTCAATCAAAGTGAAGAAGCCAGAATGGACATGTGTGCAGATTATCTGCTCCATGAAATATTCCCCTTCTTGATTCCAAACAATCTTTCTAAGGAACAAATCCCATCATGTTATTCACTCAATAAATATTAAGTGGCAGACAGCATTCTCGGAATATGAAGATGGGTGAGAATGATGTTGGGTTTTGAGAGAATTTTATTTTTTTTTTTGGTCAGAGAAATTTAGCAAGTATTTCATTATTCTTAGATTCATAAAAATATAATTATCTCTACACATGATGCTCAGCAAGTGAAGATTTTAGGACGAGTTTGACAACGCAATTTATACTGTCAAACCTAATTTTTAAATTACTACATATTTATCTCATTCCTACCAGGTCAAGTGGGTTTATAGCTATCTATACACTAGGTCAAGGAAGGCTTCAGATCTGTTTAAGCAAAACTCCTTTAAAAAATGGAAACTTCATCAATCCAATGCCAAGGTGTATATGCAAATATCAGAAAGTATCATATAATCTGCTAATCACTAAGACATTCCTAGAAATTAAAGGAGTCTTTACTGGGGGGGTGGGGTACCATAGTGCATGCATGGTGTTCCCTCTATGTGTCACAAGTAGGACAGATGGGTATGTGGGAGAGAGGAAGCCAAATGGTAGCCATTTTCATAGATGAGCTATGGCAGTGAAAGAGAACGAGATATCTTACCAAATAGCATCTCATCTGTAACTTTACCAGATAAAAGTGTTAGCTACGTGGCATACTTGCTAGACACTGTCACAGCAGTTTGGCATCTGCCTCTGACTATAGGTCACTTTATCTGATCACAGGGGTGTGGTACTCAAAAAAGGCTTGTGTGTGTATGTGTGTGTGTGTGTGTGTGTGTGTGTGTGTGTGTGTAGCATCAAATACCAGGTAATTTGCCTTGGTGCTTTATGGTATGAACTTAGAGAACAATAAAAGCACCTCTTGAATCAAAAGTTTTCTATGATTGAAAAGCTCACATTTATCATTTTAAACACATTTATCTATCCATCCATCCATCCACCCATCCATATTTAAGTTCTTTAAGGAGAACTTAGAGTATTATATAAATGTTATGTCTTGCCAAGCTTACTACAAAGAGAAAAATTTTCATACAACTCAACCCAGCCCAGAAGAGAATGACGTCCTTCCTCTTGACATGTTCCATTTCAGACATAATACAGAATGCAGTGAGATCAGGATACCCCAACACTCACTCAGCTCTCACCTCCCTCTGCAGGCTAAGTAGACACTGAACCTTCACTTCCTAGGATTTCCATCCTCACCTCCTATTTGCCAAGCAAACCACATAAATTGATGATTATGGGAAGTCTACAATACAAACTCAGTTAAACTTGTATCTCAATTTCAAATTTGCCAACTTATTTATCCTGCTCATGAGGTAATTTACCACCAATACTCATGAGGTAATTTATCACCAACAGGATGTAAAAATATTTTATAAGGTGCAAATATACTAGAACTCATTGGTTAAATGTAAATGGGAAACAAATTAGTATCACTTTTAAAATGCAACCCACAGCGAGGAGGAAATAAGTTCTTTGAGTAATAAAATACAATAGAGCTAATGATTAAAACAGGTACATCAATGAGTAAAACAGAAAATAAAGAAACTGACCTTAAATACATAATAAGATGGCATGAACTAAAGATGTTATGCTAAACCATGGGTGACAAAAAACTACTTAACAATGGTATTTGAACATTAATGAACAAATGAAGTTGAAATTTTAATCTCAGATCAGGATAATTTTTAATGTTAAAATGTAAAATATTTAAAAATGTAAAGCACAGTAAGAAGTACGGAGTTTAAGATAATTTAACAGGGGAAGATACATATTACAAAATTTTAGAGTGATTCAGAAAAAAATTATAATTTTATAAGAAAATAGTGCAAATTTGTCATGGCCAAAGTTTCAAAGGGAGAGATGAAAGATAAAATAAAAGTTCACAGCTTCTACCATCAACCCAAGGAGGCTATCTCCTTAATATAATAGTACTGCAGGATAATGCTTTTGTACACTGTAAAGATTTGTCACTCATACTGCTTTAATAAAACACTGATTGACCAGGAGTCAGGCAGGAAGTATGGGTGGGGCAAACAGACTAAGAGAATTCTGGGAAGAGAAAAGGCAGGATGCAGTCACCAAACAGAACAGAAGAAGAAAGATGAGAATGCTGCACTGAGAAAAAGTACCAAGCCATGTGGCTAAATATAGACAAGAATTATGCGGTAATTTAAGCTGTAAGAGCTAGTTAACAGTAAACCTGCACTAACAGTCCAAACAGCTTACAACTGATAGAAGCCTCTGTGTGTTTCTTTGGGAGTTAATGGCTGCAGGCCTGCATGTGTTGTCTGAGTTTTCTATACTGCCTGGTTCCCACAGTCGTTAAGTCCCAAAGAATTACACAAACATCTACATTAGTTATAAACTGATTTGTCCATTAGCTCAGGCATCTTATTAATTCTTATAACTTATATTAGCCCATTATTCTTGTCTGTGTTAGCCACATGGCTCGGTACCTTATTCAGCAAGGCAGTCACATCTTTCTCCTTCTGTGGCTGGACCAGGACTGCTGATCAAGCTTTCCTCTTCCCAGAATTCTCCTGTTCTCACTGACCTGCCTCTACTTCCTGTCTGGTTGTCCTGCCTATACTTCCTGCCTGGCTTCTGGCCAATTAGAGTTTATTTAAAATATAATTGACAGAATACAGACTATTGTCCCACACCATGCATGGGACAAAAACTTCCATCTATGTACAAAAAGTTCCTATATTCAATAAGGTAACAATTCCATAAGAGAATAGATAAAGGACAAAAGCCACACTATCCCTAGAAAGATAAACCGAGTTTCTTAAATACTCAGAGAAGCACTGAACTTTGCTCCTATTGCTTTGGTTTGAATATGATTGTGTTCCATATTTTCATCTCCCTAGTGATACCAGTGGGAGGAGGGAGCCTTTACCAGGAAGGTCTCATGAGAATTTGACTGGGGTTATGCTCTCAGAAATGATGGCTCCCACATGGGCTTCTGCTTTGTGATACCATACGCTGCCCTTTCCAGAGGTCAACCAGGCTGCCAAACTTTAAATCGCAGAAACTGTTTTCTAAATAAATCCACTTTCCTTCAAATGTAGACTATGTCAAATAATTCATTACAATGACACAATGACATATGATGACATAGGAAGACAAAGGCAACCTAAGACTGAAGTGGGACATCATTCCCAGTTACAATGTAAGGACTGATAAGATATTGTTAGAATAGTGAAGGGTCATGCTCACACAATGCTTTTACAATGTCATATTTTATACAGCTCTTTGGATGGTAACTAGGTAATAGCTGTAGAAATGCCAGTGAGTAATTCTACTCCATATTTATACACATAAATATGCAAAGTTATGTACCAAACTGGCAAATTTAAACTGTAAATACAAGTAAAAAAGGGGAACTCTATACATAAAATAGCATATAAAATGGAGTTTATGAGTAGTTTGTTACATTTTTCATGAGCTACCTATATGGTCTCTGCGTAAAGTATAGGGAGAGAGATAAACACGCCTTCTGGTCCCATTTTTCCTTGTTCTTAAATTCTAGCCACACATCCTTAATCTCTAGTTTGACAAGGAATAAAATTTCTGCTAAAAGCCACAGAAGCTGAGGTTGATGTCCCAACTGGACAGCAATCTTCAGTCATCCCATGAAGATGCAAAGGTGGCATTTAAAGAGAT